TGGGGGATTCGAACCCGCCACCTTAGGTGTATGTGGCTGGCGCCTTAACCGCTTGAGCCACAGGCGCTGAGCCCATAGCTAAAATTTTTAACAAAGGAGTAAAGAAAAAAATTCTTTCTTTTCTGGCATTAGGGTCAGCAGAATGTAAAACTACAGTTAAGTCAGTATATAGACAAAACAGTAGAATAAATTCAACTCAGACTATTCTGGACACGTATATAAAAATGTATGTTAAGTGAAGCATAAATGGTCTTATAATAACACAGCTAAGCTTTTGGGTGTATCAGTGGGAGAGAAACCCTGACCTCATACCACATATGCAAATAGATTAATGCACTGAATATTTTTAAAAAGGCAAAAAATTAAAAAGCTGTAAGAAAATATATTTGATTAGAGAGGTAGAAATTTTCTAAGCGTAAGAGGCAACAGAAGAGATTCTAAGAGATTTGACTAAAAGGTTACAAACTTCTGTAGGTTAAAAAATATATGATGAACAAAATTAAAAGACAAACACATAAGAGATAAATTATTTATCTCCTTCTTACATGCCCAGCTCATAAAAAAAAAAATAAAAATGCTAAAACCTCCGTGGGATAAATAATAGGAAAGAAATATGAGCATTGACCTCCCAAGAACAATACAGATGGCTAATAAACCAGAGGAGAATATCCAGCCTCACATGTAAATTAAAACAATTAGATTATTTTCAGCTATAAACTAGGGAAATTGGTTTCTGTTTTAAGCTCAGAGCCAGTACTAGCAGGGATCAGTGAGAAAGGCACCCACACACTGCTGGTGAAGCTATAAACCAGTGGTTCTCAACCTGGGTCGCGGCATTAGGAAGGTTGAGAACCACTGGTGCAAGCCGATATCAGCCTTCTGGAAAGTCATTTGGCAAAATGAACCAGAACCTTCGATCCAGTGATTTAACTTCCAGGAATCTCTCCTAGGGATATTCTCACAAATTGTCCAGGGACCTGTCTCATGGCATTGTTAGAATAGCAGAAAATTAGGATCAACCCAATGATCCACTAATGGGACAGTCATTAAGAAAATTGTTACAGCACATATTTTCAATGTTCACAGAGTCATTTTAATGATACCCAAAGCTGAACACAATGTGTTACACTATTAACAATTATTGCCTCTGGGTCACTAAAGGAGTGGGTGAAAATAATTTTTGCTTCTTCATATTTAATTTCCTTTCTGGATTTTCTAAAATGGAGATATTTGAATAATCAGGAAGAAAAGTAAAACACAAACATTTTCTCTCTCTAAAATTGTTTTTCTCTATATCAGGCCAAAAAATGGGCTTCTGCCCCAGCGGCTATTTAACCGTCGCAAAAGTGTTACATCATGTACATGTGAACACAGCGCACGATGCAGCAGCACCTCCGTAGTTGGCCACCTCGCCACGTTGACCTTCTACTTAAAGTTGACCTGATTTTCATAGGCCAGACGCGTGACCAGTTTCCGTCCCTTGGGTGGTCCACTTACAGGTTCTGCTGTGTTCTGTGTGAGGCAGAAGTTTTAGCACTGACCACTAAACCATGCCTGATTGACCAGCCAGATGGGTCATGTAGAGCCACAGGGCACGTGACTCTTTGCTGAGTGGCCTCTATAAAGGAATCTCCCTTAACGGTGTGGGGCTTTGTGAGAATGGGGTTGGTTTCCCACTTTCCTTTTTTCAAAGGCAGAGTGAGGTCAATTTCCTGTACTGTCTTGGCACTCTGATTCTCACAGGAAGAAGTCTGGAGCAGGTGGTAGTTCACTAATGTCTGATTTCACACAATGTGAATTCCTTTCCTACTTGTTTTGGTTTTTATTTTCTTACTGGACCATCTATCTTACAGCTCTCAGCAGTGTTCCTCCACCTGTGGTTTTTCAGTTTCTCTGCTTCTATTGCTTCTCCCTTCTGTCTGCCCTGAAGTTTCCTGAACAGCTTAGGTACAGAATAAATTTAAGAAAGCTTCTGTGGTGAATGCATGGAAGTCCAGGTTTTAGAACCGTATTTTTGTAATGAGACGATACTTTCAGTCCTTGCCCAAATCTATTCCTATCAAAATGAAATTGCTCCATGCTCAGTGGTCAGGGCACCAGCCACATACGTACGCTAGGGCTGGTGAGTTTGAACCCAACCCAGGCCTGCTAAGCAACAATGACAACTGCAACCAAAAAAATAGCCAGGTGTTGTGGCGGACACCTGCAGTCCCAGCTACTTGGGACGCTAAGGCAAGAGAATCACTTAACCCCAAGAGTTTGAGGTTGCTGTGAGCTGTGACACCATAGTGCTCTACCGAGGGCAACATAGTGAGACTTTGTCTCAAAAAAAAAAAAAAAAAAGAAATTGCTGCACTTTGTTATGATTTTTAAGAGACTTTGTGGCCAGGCAGTGGTAGCTCAGCCCTGTAATCCCAGCACTTGGAGAGGCCAAGGCGGGAACATTACTTGAGGCCAGGAGTTTGAGACCAGCCAGAAAAACATGGGAAGACCCCATCTCCACAAAAAATAGAAAAATTAGCCCCAGTGGTGGCACATGTCTGTAGTCCCAGCCACTCGGGAGGCTGAGGCAGGGGGATCGCTTAAGCCAGAAGTTTAACATCACAGTGAGCCGTGGTGATGCTGCTGCACTCTAGGGTGGGCAGCAAAGCGAGACCCTGTCTATCTAAATAAGGAACTAAATAAATAAGACTTTGTTATATTATTTTATAAAATCTTCCTAGAGTGAAAATTGTATTAACTAGTATAGTTAACTGAGATTTTATCAGTTTTGCAGGCGTTAGAGAATACAGGACTGACTAGCTAAAGTTTAAAATGTGTAAATTTCTATGTGGGAGCTGCATGCATGCCTTCCGGCTGTAAGAAGGCCACTGAAGCTGTGCCCTGTCTCCCTGCAGGAGTCCACCTCTACTACGTCGGTGGGGAGGTGTACGCCGAGTGCCTCAGCGACAGCAGCATCTTTGTGCAGAGCCGGAACTGCAACTACCACCACGGGTTTCACCCCACTACTGTTTGCAAGATCCCCAGTGGGTGCAGTCTGAAAATTTTTAACAACCAGGAATTTGCGCAGTTACTGGCGCAGTCTGTGAACCACGGTTTCGAGACAGTCTATGAGCTCACGAAGATGTGTACTATACGCATGAGCTTCGTGAAGGTGAGTGAGCTGTGATTCCTCTCGTTAGGGCTTCACACATTGTCGCTGTGTTTTTTTGAAATACATATGGCAAATATATACTGCAATCTATATCCTCTTCATGATACGTCTATATCATGTCGTTGCTGAGTTACTGCCTACGAACTTCAACAAGAATGTCAGTTACTAGGAGAATCTCATTGGAACCTAGGAGTACTTGTGTTAAACATCAGTGACAGTAGGCTTTAATATTTTTCTTATTCGGATAGCACTAACATAGCTATTGTAATCACATTAAAATATGTTCTATCCACCCTGCGTATCCAACATGCAATTTAAATACTTGGTTGTCTTACGAGATCAGTTGAATACACGTGGATGGCTTCCTTCCTTTTCTTTCTTATTCTTTGTGGTTAGTACTTTTATGATGGTATGCTGGTTGCTTTTGTTTTAACAATAAGCAAGAGATCTTTTTATAAAAATATGAGTTCATCACACTGGAAATTATTTTTAATTGGTCAGTTTTTTTAGTGGTTTCAGTAAAACTCCTGATTTCCTTATAGTTCAGAAGTTATGTAGACCAGTTGTATTGTGAGGTTTGAAGGGGAAGAGGTTAAGTACCTTGTTCTTTTTTTTTTTTCTTTTAGGATATAAAAGTACAAGTTTATTTTATATAAGCGAAAGGGAAGAGTGGGAGGAAGAGATGAGAAAGAGAGCGAGAAGGAAGCAGAGAGCAGGGAGTGAGAGAGGGAAAGAGGGAGAAAAGGAGAAATGGAGGGAGAGAATGGCCTGACATCCCTAAGGAAAAAAGGGGAATGCCAGCCAAGTGCCTTATTCTTCCTAGTAGGTCTCTTTGCTGCCTATTCTTCTGCCTCTGAGAAATAAAAGTTTTTAAGATACCACAGAAATGGTAAAAAAAAATATATATATATATTTAAATATCTGATTAGGTTTCATGAGTCAGTGACTTATTCTAGTAACTGACTGACTTGTCTCTGAATTCTCAAAGATACATTTCATCCTGTGTTACTTTGAGAAACAAAACTAATTATATATTTGAGTGAGGTAATCGCCTTTTATGTCCTCTCTTCAGAAGTTCACCAAACTTGTTGTTAGACCTGTTTTATAATGTATTTATTACTGAGGATAATTTTGGAGCCTTAACTTTGTTAATCATCCTTTAGATCAAAGATACCTTTCCCTGAATGTAATTATTTTTCCTACTTCTTTGAATCCCTTAGCAGATTATCAGTGTGTTCTCTTACTGTTTGTTTTCTTGAAAAATACTTCAACACTTCTTTGCAGCTGAGTCTGGTACTTCTTTCAGGTTAAGGGAGTTTGCTGGTCTGTGTTAAAGAGGTTGACCTCAATGCTGTGTACATACGAGACTACAAAGACCTTTCTTATTCATTATTAATGTTCACTGTTTAATTTTTTACTTAGCTTTTTGGCCCAAATGATTTTTAAAATAAGGACAGTGACTTGCCAGAAGTGGTTTTTGTTTGTTTTTATCAGTATGGGGGGAAGAGTGGCTCTTAGGAGTGAAAAGATGCAGGTTCAAGTTCATCTGCGATTTTAACTGTGTGATTTCCTCTGGTCTTCATGTTCATCGTCTTTAAAATTGGGGTGGATGGAGTTGGGAACGGTGGTAATTATTATCAAGGTCCTTCGGTGAGTTTGTCATTATTATTGAAGGGCCGCTCTAGAAGAATTTATGACTCTAATGTTCCAATTAGCATTCTCCTCCAACTCATGTCATATTGATTACCCAGTCAGTTTTAATTACTTTGCTTTTGCACAATTTTAACTTACTTTTACACAAGTAAAAACAGCCTTTTAAACAAACAAAAGCATTTTAATGCAAAGCGTTCAGAATTTCTTAGATTTCATTCATTCAGCAGATATTTTAGCACTTTCTAGAAATGGAATTACAAAGGTAAAAAAGTACCTACAGTCTCTAGTTTCAAGATGCTTATGGTCTAGTCTATCTTTAATTATAATATGATATGCACTAGAATGGAGGCTTATATGAAGTATAACGGACATAGCTGGGAAGTCGGATTTATAGAGTTGAAAATAAACAAATATTATCAAAAACTCCTGACATGATAAAGGGCAGCTCCTTATCATATATTAACAACAAAAAACATGACACACACACTGTTTTTACAACATTGTTATTTATACTTTTCGCTCTCCCACTCAGCATTTTAGACAAATTATATGGAACATTTTACTGACATTAATAGCCCATGTTGTGCTATTTACAAGATGATCAATTTTTGATACTAATATAAAGCATATGTTATAAATTATTTTTACCTTAAACTCTGACATGTATGAAAAACCCCAGGTCAGTGCAGCTGAACAAGTATTTATAGAAGTTCTGGTCTATGCCAACCATTGTGCTAGACTTTTTTTTTTTGAGACAGAGTCTCACTTTATCACTGTTGGTAGATTTCTGTACTGTGACAGCTCACAGCAACCTCAAACTCTTGGGCTTAAGCGATTCTCTTGCCTCAGCCTCCAGAGCAGCTGGGACTACAGGTGCCCACCACAATGCCCAGCTGTTTTTTTCGTTTTTAGCAGACCATGGCTGGGTTTGAACCTACCAGCCCTGGTGCATGTGGCCGGCACCCTACCCACTACCCACTGAGCTACAGGCGCCGCCATCATCATGCTAGATATTGAAGGTCAAAGACACGTCCCTCGCTTCAGAGATCTTACTGTCTAATGGAGGAAAGCTGCACATAAACAGACTTGTAAATTAAACGTAGCCGTTTGTTGAGACATACACAAATACATGGGTGTATGTACATATGTGCAGATGTTCGTATATCACAGCTTTCTTCTGATAGTTCTGATATTCAGATACATTTCTCGAAACTATTAGAGTGCGTAGGTAGCAGAGATGAATAGAACCCAGTCTTCTCTGATACTCCTCATGAAATGAGCATTAATCAGAACCTTATCCATTTTCCACCCACACCAATGAGTTTTTGATCTTTGCAGTAGCAAAATTTCTCTTCTCTTTCCCATAGTGACTTTCTTCTATGGAACTTCAGTGTTCTAATTCAGTAATTGTGACGATGTCTGAATCGTCACAATTACTGAATTACAAGTGAGCAATGGAATTTATTGATTCAAGGCAAGGGCCAGGTGTCAATAATAGCTTTTGAATACTTAAATGTACTCCTGCCAATTTGCTCAGAGATGGAAAGATAGAGTGCTCTTAGGGAAAAAACAGAATGTCAGTTTAACATAGATTTTTCCTTTATTTCATAAAATGAGAATTTAATAATAAACGTTTAAAACTGTCTTTTTTTTTTTGGAGACCGTCTCTCTGTCGCCCTGGTGTCATAGCTCACAGCAGCCTCAGTCTCTTGGGGTCAAGTGATCTTCTTGCCTTAGCCTCTGAGTAGAAAACTGGCTTTGTAATATATTTTAAAACTTTCATTCCCCAAGACCAGTAATTCTTAAATCTGTAATCCATAATCTGTGGGAGCCTAACACCCTTCCCTGAAATCGCCTGCCGGATTATGTGTGCATTTGTCCAAGTGTGCATTTTTCTTGTGAAAAGGATCCATAAGCTTTAGTGAGAATCTCTAATTATATGAACTCTTTTTACTTTATAAATTTAACCACTGAATTAAACAAGTCACATGACCTCCGGTATGTTTTATCTAGGGCTGGGGAGCAGAATACCACCGCCAGGATGTTACTAGCACCCCCTGCTGGATTGAGATACACCTGCACGGCCCCCTGCAGTGGCTGGATAAAGTCCTTACTCAGATGGGTTCACCTCATAATCCTATTTCATCTGTGTCTTAAACGGCCTCAGGCTTCTGCCTCTTGAAAACTATTGAGCCTTGCATGTACTTGAAGGATGGATGAGTCAGACACGATTGAGAACTGACAAAGGAGCCTTGATGATACTTGACCTCTGCGACCAACCGTTGGATTCAGAAATGTAAAAAAAAAAAAAAAAAAAAAAAACCTTGGTAATAAACTGTTGATGTCAAGAACCTGTTTAGTTTACATGATAACATTCTATTGTAAAGTCAACTAAAAATGCAGACTTTGGGCAGGACATCATGGATAGTTAAAGGAGAGATGGCCAAGCCAGGGACAAATTATCTGTTAGCAAAAACGGTCCTAGGAGATTCTTTTGTGTTTGGCACTTTAAGGTCATCGTCTGGCAGAAGCTTAGCATTAATAAATAGTCTCTCTGAAGTGTGTTTTTATCAGGTGTAGAGCCCATGTTCCAGTCTTCTTTTCATGGGTTTTCATAATATTTTAAAACTGTTTGTTCAGTTATGGTTTTTGTTTTTTAAGTAAAGGTTAATCTTGATGATATGCATAATAATCTTTCTAAAGTTATGTGCTGACCATACTGCTGTCAGAATAATGTTAGGCATATGCTCTTTGCTAAATATGTATGTACAGAATATTTGGAAGTTAAGAACTGATTAGACTAGTGAATTTAGGAGTATTGGAGGCGGGTGGGGGGAGAGGGAAAGGACAACTGCAAATGTAGAGTATACGTAAAAATGCAGTTTGTTGTTTTAAAGAAACAAACTGATGTCTGAATTTTGCTGTGTTTCAGTTTTTTAGAGATTTTTATCTTTTTTTTTTTTTTTTCCCTTTCTCTCTCTCTCTCTGGCACTCTTCTGTCTTATCCTCTTCAAAAAGCAGTTACACAGCTGGCTAGTTCATATAACTGTGAGAGCAAATGAGTAATTCGTGCTACCCTGAAACTGACTGCCTACCTGTTTCAATGCCAATTATATGGAGTGCTTGAATTTAATAAGCAGTTTTTATGGAGTTTACAGTACAGAAATAGGCTTTAATTTTCAAGTGAATTATTTGCCAAACCTAGTAACTCTATTAAATATTTGAAGAGTGTAAAGAACATCCCTGTTTGAATCCATTCAGACTTTTTAAATTTTTTTGTACTATGTTTGGTTTTATTTTTCTTCTGTTAATCTTTTATATTCACTATGCTCTCGTACATTTGAGTACTTTTATTCCAAAACTAGTGGGTTTTCTCTACTGGAAATTTTAAATAAACCTGTCATTATTGCTTACTTTGATTAAAAATTGGTCATTTTCTTTTCTCACCTACTAGATTATAAGATGAGTAAGGCTTGCTGCTCCTCTGAGAGTTTTTTTCCTCAGATACTCTCTGCCAAACATGAACTGAATTCCTACTACAGAGACAGTGACCCTGAAGCGTGAAGAGAGCAGAAATCTTTAAATCAAAAAGAAAGGACATTGTAGAACTTTAAAATCTAAGGAAAATGTAACAATACCTAGACGTGTAAACTTTTTAATTTGTGGAATTCCAGCAATACCAATTTCTGATGGATGCCACTAAGTCCGCTGAAGGTACCAATTTCTAAACTTCAGGTGAGGAGATAAGAGCAACTGTGGGGAGATGGAATAAAAGGAGGGGTCAGGACGAAAACTTCCATACCAGAAACGACTGCTTTGCAAGATGCTTGGGACAGGGATAATGCCCCACCAAAAACCTTTTCCTGTGAGGGACAGGGATTTGAGGACACTTAGATTCTGTCCTGACCAAACAGACACCATTCTTTTTTCCTATTTATGTCTTTCCTGGAGTGTGCTGATGAGCTCTGCAATTTAAGAATACCCCTCCCCCTTTTTAAACCTAGTTTAAAAGAAAAGAATATCTTGGCTTGGTGCCTGCATCTCAGTGGTTAGGGCGCCAGCCACATACACCCAGGCTGGCGGATTCAAACCTCAGCCCAGCCCTGCCAAATAACAATGACAACTCCAACAAAAAATAGCCAGGCATTGTGGCAGGCACCTATAATCCAGCTGCTCGGGAGGCTGAGGCAAGAGAATCACTTAAGCCCAAGAGTTTGAGGTTGCTGTTAGCTGCGATACCACAGCACTCAGCTGAGGGTGACATAGCTAGACTGTCTAAAAGAAAAAAGGAAAGAATATCTTGCTTTTTTTCTACCAAGAGATAACACTTATTCTCCAAATAATAACAAAGCAAAAATTTCTACTGTTTCTCTTTGTTTCCAGAAACAACATAGTGTAAGTGGAGAAAGTCTGGACAGAAGACCTACGTCATAACAAACTCATGCTCATCTTCACTGGGTCACGTCTATAAATCTGTTTCTTCATTAAGTGAAGAAAATGTAGTTGTGTCCTTATCACAAAGTTGAGGAGAATATCAGTGAGTTAAAAATACATGTGAAAACGCCTTAGAAACATAACTCCATACATGCCAGTATAGGGGTCACTGTTTTCTTGAACTCTCTCCCATACTCGTTTTCCTCTTGCCTAAGTCATTCCTGGCACAGGTGATCTTAGATCCATGATGGTGATAGGTGAGACAGAATCAAAGGAGAGTATTAAAACTACTGGGCTTAACAATGTAGTATAACTGGAATGGTCTAACAGTAAAGCGCTCAGGTTAGGATTCTTCACCCTTTTCCTAGTGGAAAGCTATTTTTTGGCTTTCCTTGAGATCCCGTGGTTGCCTACTGGGACACTTGTGCAAGTTGCTAATCGAGTGTAACAGTGCGGGTAGCCAGCTTGAAGATCTATCAAACACCAAGAGCATCCAGGAGAACCTTGGAGTTCGCAGCATGGGGCCTTTCATGCTGAAGTGCAATTGTTTGTATATATTGTAAAATCTCAGGAAGATGATTGTCATCAGTCACAGGAGGCTGTAAGCCTCTCGGAAAATTTTAATTAAAGGAATGGAAAAAGGCAGCAGCTTGTTTAGATTACTAGAAAAAATTGAAGCTAGTTCAAACAACAATAAAAACCAACATAAATTATTTCAAAACAGACATATTTTATGCTGGGATAATTGAAGTGGAGGGCCCTGGTGCTGCTGCCTCACTCCATCACTTAATAGCATTTGACCTCCAGGAAGTGTCTTAGTTTTTCTGCACCTGTTTCCTCATCTACAAAATTGGAAGCAATAAAGCCCACCTCATGAGGTTATCTGAAGATTAAGTCAATATATTCAAAGCACTTAGAACTGTCAATAAATGCTGCTGTTAACTAAATTTGCCTGGGAATAAGACTGGATTCAACAGACATTTGTGAAGACCTAGTTACCTGTGAAATATTCCATAAACACTGGGAAATCCTGTCCTTAAGGAACTTAAAGAGTCCAGAGCAGTGATTTTCAACAGGAGGGCCGTGAGAGGATCTTAGGGGTGTCGTGAAAATTTTTGAAGATTATTAAATTATTTTCAAAAGTTCAAAGCACCGTAAGTGTATTCTTTTTTTACTATATTTTTGTGAACAATATAATGTAAGTGCCTGTGGAATCTCAACTATAGGTTCAAATGTGCCATGAGATTTTTTTTTAAAGGTTGAAAAATACTGTTCTAGAGCAAGAAACCTAAAGAAAGCCAGCAATCTGTGTGTGGCCTCAGCCACTGTCTCCCAGGCACTGTGCGATGACTTTCATCCTCAGGAGAACATGAGATACTACTGTCCTCAACGCCTTATGGCATTTTTCTTATAAATAAAGAACTAAACATATTCAAATTCACCTAGCTAGTTAGTATGGGAATCGGAATTTCAGTTCAGATCTGACTTTAATTCTTCTAAATTCTTGTGTTCATCTGCAGACATAGAGATTTAACTATAAAATAAGGTAGAATGAAGAACAGGGGGAAGAAGTATCAATTCAGATTTGGTCAGGTGGAGACCACTGCAGATACTTCAGAGGAAGTGATATTTAAGGCTGAGCCTTGAAAGATGGGAAGAAATTTCCCCTTGTCCATTGGAGAAACTTCTGGGCAAGAGAAGAATGTGAGTGGGAGCGTGTGAGATGGACACTGTTGTTAGGTATGCCCCCCCCAGTTGTAAAGCTGTGTGTCCCCCTCCAGTCCACATGGGACTATAAAATTCATCATACCACGTAACACCATATGCCCCTGCTGTTGCCAAGGTGAGGACATCTTCCTGCTCCTTGGGAATTCTGGGGATGGAAATAAGACAGTTGCTCCGCAGGGCTGAAGGTGTAAACCAGGTTCTCAACCTTCCTAATGCCGCGGCCCTTTAATACAATCCTGTGGGTTGCGACCCACAGGTTGAGAACCACTGGTGTAAACCTGGGAACTGACCCCTTCCGCCTTTCCTGCTAAATGAGACAAGGAAGGGGAGAGCGTCCCCAGGGCATCCAGGTTCCCAGGTCTGGGATTGACCTGAGAAGACGTCCTATGTTCCTGTCCTGCACTGTCCTTGGACACACAGGGATCTTTACAGAGAATACCCCCTCCTGCTTACTGTAGTTTGACTTGAGTTTTTGTTATGTGCAAGCGAGGTTTACATAATAGAGTATGGGAATAATGACTTTTTTTAAAAAATAGATTTTTTTTTTATAGATCAATTTCTTTTAACCAAAACAATACTTGCTCCTTAAAGATTTTTAAAGTAGCAGAAAGCAAAAAAGCTTGAAATCATTTGTAATAACCTATGGTGACTAAATTAGCTTATCCTTGATGCAGGTCATTATGACAACCTGGCATTGAGATGAGAAGCTGTAGGAAATGCTTGTCTAGAGTTAGTAGATTCGTCTCTTTAGCATGGAGAGGATCGTCTCCATTCATGGGAGGCCACCAATGCCTTTCTCCTTGACTCCATTCCTTAAGCCGTTATGGAGAGAAATCTTGGGGCAGCCACTGTGGCAGGTGATAAAGTGAACTTGTCTTGGCTCTTCCCTCAAGGAGCCTGCTCTCTAGCAGGAAATGTTGACTAGATAATGATAACAGAGTTCCATGATAGCAAGGGGCACAGAAGGGTACATAATTCATACCAGAAGAGTAAGGGAAGACTTCCGAGAGGAGAGGATGCCTCAGAGCTGTGTTGCTGTGCTAACTAGGTATTATGCAGGTGAGCAGTGGGTAGGGGACGATGTGTACTAGGCAGAAAATAAAAGATGCAAGCGGGAGAACCTGCCACATATGGGAACAGCTGGGACTTCAGTGTAGCTGAAGTG